TTTTGAGACAGAGTCTTGCTCTGTTGTCCAAACTGGAGTGCAGTGTCGCAATCTCAGTTCACTGCATCCTCTGCCCCTGGGTTCAAGCGATTCTCCAGCCTCAGCCTCCCAAGTAGCTGGGATTACAGGCGCCTGCCACTACACCTGGCTAATTTTTGTATTTTTAGTGGAGGCAGGGTTTCATCATGTTGGCCAGGCTGGTCTCGAGCTCCTGACCTCAAATGATCCACCCACCTTGGGCTCCCAAAGTGCCGGGATTACAGCCATGAGCCACCGTGTCTGGCCAAACATTCATATATTTTATATAACATTGGGAACTCTCCTGTTTGTAGTGTTCTTGCTTCACATATGGATACACCTGGTGTCAGTTTTTACAAAAACCAAGTGAGTTTTGGTGCATATGCCAGGAGGGACACCCCAGAATGTTAATTGTCATGATCACTGGCTGGTAGATGCTGTGATTTTTGTAGTGTTTTCATCTTTCATGCCTGGTTGAGTTATCTGTCTCCTGAGTGTATCCAGAATTACTGTCCTTTATTTTTTATTACACAGATAAATGCATGTGCATTGTTTTTAAAAAAAGATGAGAACACATCAAAAAAATTTTTAATTAAAAAAAAGAAAAAAAGAGAGAGATTTATACATACAGATCCCAGCTGTCCTTCCAATATTTTTCTGAGGGTACATACTATTTTTTATTATTATTTTTTGAGACAGGGTCTCTCTGTGTTGCCCAGGCTGGAGTGTAGTGGTGTGATTACAGCTCACTGCAGCCTTGACCTCCTGGGCTCAAGCGATCCTCCAACCTCAGCCTCCCAAGTAGGTGGAACGACAGGCGTGCGTCACCGTGCCTGGCTAATATATCTGTTTTTTGTAGAGATGGGGTCTCGCCATGTTGCCCAGGTTGTCTTGAATTCCTGGGCTCAAACGATCTACCAGTCTTGGCCTCCCAAAGTGCTGGGATTACAGGTGTGAGCCACCGTTCCCGGCCACTGAGGTTACATACTGTTTATGTAATTAAGGGAAGTGTTATCTTAGCTTTGACTTGAAATAATGTGTAGACAGAGGAGATGCTGACTCCTGTGGGTGGGGAATCAGCTCAGGAAAGGCCCTTGCCCAGGCCCAAGTCTGCAGTGAGGGGTGAGGGAATGCGGGCTCAGCGGACTTCCTGGCCAATCCCAGAATTCTCTCTGGTCCTCAGGCCATGGATCCAGGACATCGAGGGAGCCAATGCCAAGGACCTTTGCAGCATCTCTTCGGTTGTGTCCCTGTCTTTTGTACCAACAGGTGAGGTGTCCCTTCAAAAGGTAGAGGAGAGAGGTGGGGACAAGTCTTCTTGGAAGGCTCCCCCAGGCACAGATGTTGTAAATGCCTTTCCTCACATCCTCGCCCCCTACCCCTGTAAGCAGGTCCCCAGGAAGACTCAGTCCTGGGGTCCCCAGAGTTGCCCATCATGGCACCAGGGGCATAGCCCAGAGGGAGGCAGGGGAGCTTGGAGCTACTGTGGACACTGGCACCTCCCTACCCCATGCCTTTTCTGCCTGCAGGTGAGAAGCCATGTGAGCAAGTCCAATTCCAGCCCAACACAGTGAACACTTTGGCCTGCCCACTCCTCTCCAACCTGGCGACTCGACTCTGGCTGCACAACGGGGCCCCTATCAATGCCTCGGCTTCCTGCCATGTGCTACCCACTGGGGACCTGCTGCTGGTGGGCACCCAACAGCTGGGAGAGTTCCAGTGCTGGTCGCTAGAGGAGGGCTTCCAGCAGCTGGTAGCCAGCTACTGCCCAGAGGTGGTAGAGGACGGGGTGGCAGACCAAACAGATCAGGGTGGCAGTGTACCCGTCATCATCAGCACATCGCGTGTGAGTGCACCAGCTGGTGGCCAGGCCAGCTGGGGTGCAGACAAGTCCTACTGGAAGGAGTTCCTGGTGATGTGCACACTCTTTGTGCTAGCCGTGCTGTTCCCAGTTTTATTCTTGCTCTACCGGCACCGGAACAGCATGAAAGTCTTCCTGAAGCAGGGGGAATGTGCCAGCGTGCACCCTAAGACCTGCCCTGTGGTGCTGCCCCCCGAGACCCGCCCACTCAACGGCCTAGGGCCCCCTAGCACCCCACTTGATCACCGAGGGTACCAGGCCCTGTCAGACAGCCCCCCGGGGGCCCGAGTCTTCACCGAGTCAGAGAAGAGGCCACTCAGCATCCAAGACAGCTTCGTGGAGGTATCCCCGGTGTGCCCCCGGCCCCGAGTCCGCCTTGGCTCAGAGATCCGTGACTCTGTGGTGTGAGAGCCGACTTCTAGAGGACGCTGCCCTGGCTTCAGGGGCTGTGAATGCTCGGAGAGGGTCAACTGGACCTCTCCTCCGCTCTGCCGTTCGTGGAACACAACCGTGGTGCCCAGCCCTTGGGAGCCTTGGAGCCAGCGGGCCTGCTGCTCTCCAGTCAAGTAGCGAGGCTCCTACTACCCAGACACCCAAACAGTCATGGCCCCAGAGGTCCTGGCCAAATATGGGGGCCTGCCTAGGTTGGTGAAACAGTGCTCCTTATGTAAACTGAGCCCTTTGTTTAAAAAACAATTCAAAATGTGAAACTAGAGAGGAAAGAGACAGCATAGAATGCAGCGCACACGGCCGCTCCAGTTCCCAGGGGCGCTGGGGATGCGTCCAAAGTGGTTGAGACAGAGTCGGAAACCCTCACCAACTGGCCTCTTCACCTTCCACCTTATCCTGCTGCCACTGGCTGCCCTGTCTCACTGCAGATTCAGAACCAGCTTGGGCTCCGTGCGTTCTGCCTTGCCAGCCGGCCGAGGATGTAGTTGTTGCTGCCATCATCCTACCACCTCAGGGACCAGAGGGCTAGGTTGGCACTGCGGCCCTCACCAGGTCCTGGGCTCGGACCCAACTCCTGGACCTTTCCAGCCTGTATCAGGCTGTGGCCACACAAGAGGACAGCGTGAGCTCAGGAGAGGCTTAGTGACAATGTACGCCTTTCCCTCAGAATTCAAGGAAGAGACTGTTGCTTGCCTTCCTCCATCTTAGCGTGAGAACCCGTGTGTCCCTTCCCACCACATCCATCCTCTTCATTTTTGAACTCAAACACGAGGAACTAACTGTGCCCTGGTCCTCTCCCCAGTCCCCAATTCACCCTCCATCCCTCACCTTCCTCCACTCTTAAGGGATATCAACACTGCCCAGCACAGGGGCCCTGAATTTATGTGGTTTTTGTATGTTTTTTAATAAGATGCACTTTATGTCATTTTTTAATAACGTCTGAAGAATTATTGTTTAATCCTGGCTCTTCCTCTTCAAGGATAGTTGCTTTTTGAGGTTGGTCTAGTTCTCTGAGTTCTGAGGGGTTCTGAACCTTCTCTGTGCAGGGTCCAGTGAGCCAGAGTCAGCCTAGCCTGGCCAGCAACATCTCCCTGTGGGGTGGCTTTGAGGTGGGGAACTTAAGCCACTGATAGGCAGAGGCAGGGGGTTCATTGCATTTACTTCAACCCCTTTATTCTGCATCCCCAATTCAGTTTAGCAAGGGTAGGGACACAAGGGTTGGGATGGGATGGGATGGGGGCCCTTTGTTAAAGTTTTTAATTTTTCAAATCGTGCAGTAAAATAGACTTTATTGATGTACGGTTCTTTACAACTTGACACCTGCAGAGACTCATCTAACCACCACCCCAATCAGGATACAGGAGAGCACCACCCCTCCTGCTGCCCCTTCATCCTCACACCCTCCCACGGGGACAGCCAGCACGGGTGTGGCTTGACTTCCCACTGGCCCCTGCTCGATATGCTGCTTATTCCTAGGATGATCGAAGGCTCCTAGAAGAGAAATCCAGTCCTTCCTCACACCATGTATCTCATATCACACACAGGGTCAAACTTCTAAACCTTTATTACTGATTAGTACAAACACAAATGGAGCAATGACAATGGTAGTGAGGAGAGGCCCTGACAAGGAGGGCTACCCCTGCCCGGGGTGAGGCTGCACAGTGCCAGCTCCAGGCTGGGCCAGCGTGGTCCGCGCTGGCAACACAGGCTTGATCTTGGCCACAGCTCAGCAGTAGAAAGGTTCTTGGACAGGGTGCCAGGACACACGCTGGGGCTGCTGTCACAGGACAATCTTAAAGGAGCTGAACAAGAGAAAAGGGGTGGGTTTTCTGCTGGAAGAGGAGGGTAGGGACTAAACCCACACTTGACCCCCCTTCTCCCTTTAGATCCTTCTTTGGAACGAACTGTGTCCCGTGTGTCAGCCCACTCTGGAAGAACTCCCTGAGACATCCAGAGGGAGCTTTCTGGACCCACACACAGGGTCAGAGCTTCTAAACCGTTATTACTAATTAGTACAAACACAGAGCAATGACAATGGCACTGGCAAGGGGAGAGGCCTTGACAAGGAGGGCTGCCCCTGCCCGGGGAGAGACTGCCAGCTTAGCCGGCCCTGTGTGTGTGGACTGGGGCTTTCTCTCACCCTGGCACCACCTCCTGTAGCAATGTCCTAGGCCCAGAGGCAGCAAATCGGGACCTGCAGGTACCCAGAATGCAGGGGCACCACTGTCATACCTGGCAAAGTCTGGAGAACGGGAGATGACGTGCTGGAACTCAGAGAGGTTGATGGTTCCATCCCTGTCAATGTCAGACTCCTCCAGGATCTGGGAAAGGGAGAGTTTCAGGCCAGAGCCCCAACCCCTCCCTCCCACTCCCAGGCCCAGCTGGGGCAGGGCCTGTTCAGCTGCTCACGTTGTCGATGAGCTGCTTCATCTCAGATGCACTAAGCCGTGTGTCCTCGCCCTCTCCTGTGAGGCAGTTCACCAGCCGGCTCAGGTCTTCTCTGTTCAAGGTTCCATCATCATCAAAGTCTAGAGAACAGACACAGGAAGCCAAAAGACACGGTTGGGAGGGGCTCTGAGGTTCCACAAGCACGCCATTTCCCAAGCAGGGCCACCACAAAGCCCATGTGGGAAGGGGTGGTGTCCTGCCGGGCTGCTCCTGGTTCTCACCGAAGATGCGGAAGGCATAATGGGACTTGATGTCCGGCGTGGCTGTGTCACTGAACACACTGAGGAGGTCCAGGAAGTCCTCAAAGCTAAGGCTGTCTCTGGTTGGGGAGGTGGAGAAGACCCTGCAGATTCGCTCCTTGAAGGGGTTGGCCTAGGAGAACAAATGCCACAGGATGTGGCCCAGGTCACACACTCATTAAACCCTACCAGAAACTTGAGAGAGCAGGTCACAGGACCGGCACCAGGGAGCTCAGGCTCGTGGGGGTGAACGATCAGTGCTTTGGGGCCAACATGAAGGGCAGTGGGGGCACAGGAAAGCAAACTGACCCAGTTAGGGAAAGGACTGATATGGCTTACTGGGAGTCAAGTGTTTAACCCAAAGGCAGGTCACATACAACATAAGTGTGGGCAGAGAGGGAAGAAGTCATCCTAAACAAAGGGAACGAGATGGGCTGGTTATTTTAAAACACAAATATTTAATTGAACAACTATTGTGTTACAGGCACTGGGCCAGGCCCTTTGCAGAGATATTTCGCAGCAGCCCCAAAGAGTGGCAATCAGCCCCTAGAACAGGGTTCCTCAAACTTCAATAAGGTAACTCAACTCCTCTTAAGGGATAAAACTTCTCTGAACTTCCAAGATTATGTTCTAGAATCCCCATTTGAAAAGCACCATTCTAGATAATTCTGCCAGGTGATTTTGGTCAAGTCCTTGTCCCCAGAAAATTAGAACTAAGCAGAAAAATGACCAGAATGGGGCCCAGTGACCCCATGATCTCAAAGCTAGTGGCAGATGGAGTTAGGGGGTCTAGCAGGGAGGGAGTGGTGGGAGAGGTGTCAACGAGGGGAAGCGCTTGCACCTTGAGCTCTGGAAGGCTGAGAATCTGCTCGAAGGGCACTTGTGCCAGAAGTGACTGCTCCACGCTCCGCTGCTCCTGGGGAAGCAGCTCACAAAACCGCCTGTGGGCTCTGGTAGAGAGAGGGGAACTGTCGGTGTTCTCAGCAATCGGTTTCCCTGTGTGTTCATTCCCACTCCTTGCCTGCTGCTCATTATCAACCAGGTGAGGAGCTAAAACCACATGCACAGAACTTCCGAGTCATCAGGCAACAGTAAGCAAAAGGACATGTCACAAGGCAGTACAGCCTAGGAGTCTTTTCTTACAATGAATATTTACTGAGCATCTACTATGTGCTGGGCACTGATTCTAGAGATCCCTGAGGGATGAAGAGTTGGGGAAAAGGCCAGAAGTTGGCCCTAAAGAACTGGCCAGGCACGGTGGCTCACACCTGTAACCCCAGCACTTTGGGAGTCCAAGGCGGGTGGAGCATTTGAGGTCAGGAGTCTGAGACCAGTCTGAGCAACATGGTGAAACCCCTTCTCTACTAAAAATACAAAAATTAGCTGGGCCTGGTGGCAGTTGCCTGTAATCCCAGCTACTCAGGCGGCTGAGGCAGGAGAATCACTTGAACAAAGAGGCAGAGGCTGCAGTGAGCCGAGATCGTGCCCCAGCACTCCAGCCTGGGTGACAGAGCGAGACTCTGTCTCAAAAAAGAGAGACAGAGAAAAAAAACAAAAACAGGGAGAAAAGAGCAAAACCAAAAATCTCATTCTCCCCATCACTCCAGGGATCTCTTGCCCTCAAAGCCTTCTTTTTAGCAGCCACCCTGAACTGTCCTCCTCCTCGGCCTCCACCTCCTTCCCATGAGATTATCTTTGCCGCAGGAAGCCCAGGCACCTCCTCACTCAAAGTGCCCTGGCCTGCATAAAATCTGGCAAAAGGGCTTCCAGCCCAAGTTCAAATCCATTTACTCAGAGTGTTGTCTTAAGCAGTTATCAAACCTTTCTGAACCTGTTTCATTGTCCAATACCTCTCTCCTAAAGATTAAATTAGGTAATGCAGGCAACAATGTAGCACAGTCCCTGGCACATGGTGAGTGCTCAGAAAGCGATAACGGTTACTGTATTATTCAGGTAAAGTTGGGAGAAAGAGCCAGGCTCCCCAAGGCTTCTGTGGTTTAGCCACTGGGCAAGGTCGGCCCCTGCCGGACTGGGGCAGGAAGTTCGGCAGTGCTGAAGCTAGTGGAGCTCAGGGTCAGAGAGCCTAACTTTTCCTGGAGGCTGTGAGGTGGCTCCGCGGTGCCACGCTGGGGCCTCAGGCGAGGGTGGGGAGGGCGTGCCGGGAGAAGGGCGCAGCACGGGCTGGGTCTCCTAGCCTCCAGCTCCCGGTCCTCTGCGCTCCTCAGGCCAGCCCCCGCCCCTCCCTCGGGACGGCGCCCCCGAAGCTGTCTCTAGAGGATCCCAGGGTCGGAGGCGGGGTTCAAGGCAGCACTTACAGGAGGATCTCCTGCTTCGTCAGGAACGTCAAGTCCTGGAAGGCAAAGCGAGAGCTGGCATTAGCGGACCGCTGGGAGGCCGCGGCCGCCCCGCAGCCCGCTCCGGACC